AAATAAATAAATAAATAAATAAATAAAAAATAAAGTAGTCCCTGGATTGTGAGACTACTGGCCAAAAATTTGACCCTTCCTACATACCCAAAGGTGCTTTGGAAGAAAAGCCTGGTAATCTGCATCTGAAAGATCACAGCTTGAGAAAACCTACAGAATTCAGTTCTACTCTGCAACTTAAGGGGTCGCCATTACTGGAAATTGACTAAAGGCAACTGATTAGTTACTGGTGATCTAGTTAAAGTGTATTCCTAAATTACTTACAAAAAATGGCATACAATATTTTAATCAATAAGATTGTTATTGTTGCTATAAAGTACCATCGAGTCAATTCAGACTCATGGTGATCCTATTGAGGGTTTCTGAGGCTTTTAAAATTTTTGCGTGAGTTGAAAGCCTCATCTTTCTCTTGTGGAATGGCTGGCAGGTTCAAACTGCGGACCTTGTGGTTCACAGTCCAGGGCTTATCGTATGGAATCACTACTCTCCAATCAGAGAGAGAACACATATTTAACATATGTGTTATGTGTAATCAAAGGCAACACATATTTAAACAAAAGACTAAAAAGCTAAGTATAGTCAATCATCATTCTTTACAGGCTCTGTATTTGTAAGTTTGCATACATACTAAATTTGATTTGTAACCCCCAAATCAATGCTTTCATGGTCATACGCACCACAGTGGAACATTTGTGTCACATGATGAGCACATCATCAGCTAAGGGTGAACAAGGAGACACTTTGCTTTCTTGCTTCAGCCCTCATTCTGTAAACAAGTCTCCTTTTCAGTCTATTTAGTGCCACAGTTCTTGCATTTTTGTTGGTGACTTCAGTTTAAAATGGTGCCCTAGTGTTGAATTGCTGTCTAGTTTTCCTAAGAACAAAAAGGCTATGCTATGCCTTATAGAGAAAATGCATGTAAGATAAGCTTCATTGAGGCATGAGTTCTAGTGCTGTTGGGGATGCGTTCCATATTAATGAATCCATATAATACAAACGGAAAAAGGCAGAGGAAATTGGTGTGTGAGGCAATTTTAGTTAACAGCTATCGTGCATGAGGAAGCTACAGAAAAATGGTTAAATTTGGGTGTTCATGAGATGCCAATTAATATAAAAAGCAGAGTGAGGGTAAAAGCCATAGAAATTTATGGTCAATATTATCTGGCAGTTCTGACTCAGTGACCCTTTATAGGGTTTCTGAGAGGCTGTAAATCTTTATGAGAACAGAAAGCCTCACTGGAGTGCACGTTGAAGTGCCAGGTGGACTCAAACTGCTGACCTTGTGATTGGTTGGCAGCCAAACACAGAACACACTGTTCCAGCAGGGCTCTTCTACAGTATCTGGGGTTGGGAAAAATCTTAAAACTTTTCTCAGCTAGTACTGGTTGGCATGCGTGTTTCAAAAACGATATAGCATGAAAAACGTCAAATTTGTTAAACGTTGGAAAAACAGGTTCTACAGATCAAGAGGTTGCAGAAGAATTTTTTAAATACCTGTTAAATGTTACATGGGAAAAGGGTTATGTGAAAGAATAGGTTTTCAATGCTGCCCCAATCTCTCCCTGAGTTTTCACGAGGCAAGCCAAGGCTGGCAGGGTCAACCACCTAGTGCAGTGCTCCGTCATGCATCCTGCTGCTCCATCAAAAATAGCTTTTAGTGAAGATTTTCATAAACATTAAACGTTTAATCTTTAATCCCCCATTTACAAATACTGTATTGTACAGACAATGTTCCTTCTCCAGATTCACAGAAAACTGATTCTGTATTCCCTCTAGGGGCAGTGATTTAGTACTCACCAACTCAGTGCATGTGGAGATTTTCTAGAACAGACTACCATGAACAGTGAGAACTAACTGCTATAAATGCTACTAGGGTAGTTTGCTCCCATTATGATATAGCTGCGGTGAGACTTTTTACTGCTTCACTGCTTGAGGGAGTATCAATAAATTTCTCAGCTGAATGGTAAATGTACTACAAGGATTCAAAAGGTTTGTGGAAAAATTCCATGATCTACCTTTTAACTTCATTTTCTACAAACTTTTTTGAAGCCCCCTCGTAGATATCCAAGCCAATTATAAACACCAATACTGACCTAAAGATTATTTTCGTCTCGAATTAGAAGTCATGATCTGCTGATGGATAGTTACCTCTCCAATTGCCAACAAATGATCCTTATAATTTTCAATAATGGGCAAAGCCACATCCAGATCCTGAAAGCAAGCAAGCACAGTGTTAAAACGGAAGGAAAAGGGAACTGACATTTTGTGAGCACCTGTTATAGGCCACGTACTCCAAGTGCTTTACACATCTTTCTCCCGTAACCATTCAGGAAATGAGGGCTAGTAAGCCTTCTGTAATGAAAACTTGAGTAGCCACACATGCCAAGATAAACTCATTCAGGTTACAAAATATGACTTTTTATGCAATTTCCTCTTAACCACCTCCTTTTGTTTGGAAGGACAGGTTTGGATTTCCTGGAAGAGCTAAGCAAGAGAAATAAGAGCTACCAGGTGGCCACCTTTGTCAGTAAGGTTTAGGGAGTGTATTGTGTTAGGGTACTAATGGTTTGTATCCTAAGCTTATAATAATGAGAATATCATAGATTCTTTGCACTGTTTGCATTTATCTGTACAGTCCTGCTTGGCTTATTTTTGTCCTAAAGGTTCAGCAATATAAGCAATGGATATCATAGGCTCTTTTGTTAACAGTTACTGAAGTAACTGTACCATTACTTTCAATGATGTCATTATTTCCATTAAGAATTCACTCTGTGAGAGTTCCCTTATAAGGCAGGGAAAAAACAAATGGAAAATTGCTTCTAGATACTTTTTAAAAGACTTTGATGATCTGAGTTTCAGGATATGTAAACTGCAAGGTACTTTGGGGATTATCAGAACAAAAGAGAATGCAGTAAAGGGACATAAAGTAGGTTATAGAGGAACAGGAAGAGGTTTTACAATTAGGCCTTCGAGAGAGAAAAACAGACAAGTGAGTAAATAAAAGCTCTAAGAATATATTCTCATGGACTTGATGAAGAAGAATTTGCATTGTTATGAGAACACAAGCCTGCTTGTGTTGAGCAGCTGCTGTCTGACAAAACATTGAGTAGGTTAAATAGCATCAGGCATAGATTTTTAGTACCAAAGATTCAAACAACTGTGTCTCTGGGTCCTCAGAGGAACGGAGTGAAGCAGCACCCAGATGTTTGACTTAGAAACAATTTAGAAAGTTCTAGTGAGAAAGAAATTATGCATTTGGATAAAGACCAGACATAGGAAGAAAAACGCCTCTTTGAATGTGTTATCTAAAAAATCAGCAAAACAAATTTACTAAGCAATTGTTCACACTCCTAATGAAACAGCTCTGGAAGTTTCTAGCAAAGCAAGTATGGTAAATAGAAATTAAACAAAACCCAAACCGATTGCTAAAGTCAATTCCAACTCACTATGACCCTGCAGAGCAAAGTAGAACCACCACACAGAGTTTCCAAGGCTGTAAATCTTTATGGAAGCAGATGGCATATTTTTCCCTTGTGGGGCAGCTGGTGGGTTTGAACCAGGGACCTTTGATTAGCAGCCACGTGCTTATCCGACGTCCTCTATAAGGTATCCAGATCTTTAATAGGCAGTGGTTTTAAGGGATTTTCAAGACACTGCACCCTATCATTGTGGGGTATTAGTACTACTACCCTATTAGCGTAGTGGTTATGAGTTGGGCTGCCAATCTCAAGATCAGCAGTTCGAAACTACCAGAGGTTCTATGGGAGAAAAATGAGGCGTTCTGCTCCTGTAAAGATTTACAGCCTCGGAAACCCTGTGCAGGGTCACTATGCGTCAGAACCGACTCCACTGTACCTTCCAACAACCAACAACAGCCCTATTATTATTCATTATTTACAAATGAGGAAATTGAAATGTGGCAACGTTAAGTAATTTGCTATAGTTCTCCATTCTGTTTCCCCATACTGCTGAAAGAAGAAGGATGGAGGAAAGGAAACAGGAAGTAGAACTGGAGGGAGAGAAAAGACAATTTATTCTGATTTTAAACAGTTACAATGGATTTTTCACTAGAAAATGGTTGTTTTTAAGTGTGGTTGAGTTCATTCCAACCATAGCGACGCTGTATAGCAACGCTGTATAGGGTTTCCGAGAAGCAGCTGGTGAGCTTGAACTTAGCTCAAAAGATATTACCATTCTTTTTATGGTTCTACTTGTGTGTGACTGTTACCTTTAATGTGACACTTCTTTGGTCTTCTGGTGGAAATCCCTGAACTGGGTGAACACCCAAGCATGGCAGGATAAATCCACTGTACCTAAAAATGTAGAATGAAATACGCAAGTTGTGTTAGTGGACTAGTAAACTATAAGATTACTCTGTAGAATAAGTAGAATATCTTTTTAGGGGTATGAGAATTTTTCATTCTCATTCTCTTTAAAAATGGGTGAACTTTTATATCATGTTGCTGTTAAGTGCCATTGAGTTGATCCTGACTCATAGCGACCCTGCATAGGGTTTCCAAGGAGCAGCTGGTAAGTTTTGAACCACCGACCTTGTGGTTCAAACCAAACTTGTGGTCCAGTGCTTTATCCCACAGTGCCACCCCAAGACTCCAAACCCTACAACACCAGGTATTCCCAGGCAGTCTCCCATGCATGTGCTAACCAGGCCTGACCCTGCTTAGCTTCTGAAATCACATGAGGTTGGCTCATTCAGGGTGGCATGATCGTAGATTTTTATATTATAAACCTGACATAATAAATCTGATGTTGTATAATTCTTTTATCATCTTTATTAGAAGTAGCACCTTTCTGAAAGCCGCATAATCTTTTCAAATTCTCCTGAATGTTCAGCAACTGCCACAAGGGCCATAACATTGGCCTGAAACAAAAAAGAAGAGAATAGTTAAGAGTCCCAAACAATAAACACACCTAATATAATTAAATGAAACAGTGAAGTCTTTGTGCTATCGTTGCTCACCATGCTGCATTGATAACCAAGCAGCAGTACTCAGGTTACAAGGACCCCTGATAGCATAGTGGGTTACGCGTTGGGCTGTAACTGCAAGGTCAACAGTTCAAGCCCACCAGGTGCTCCATGGAATAAAAACAGCTTTGGAAACTCTATACCAGATCCCTATGAGTCAGAATCAGCTCCATGGCACATAACCACCTCCTCTCAGGTTATAAATGAGAACCAATCCTGAATAGGTCTTTAAGTCAAACTTGTAGGTAAGTCAGAACAGGTGAATTTGGCTCTTCTTTGGTTGGTTGGGTGGTTATGTGCCGTGGAGTCGGTTCTGACTCACAGCGACCCTGTACAGGATTTCTGAGGCTGTAAATCTTTATGGGAGCGGAACGCTCATATTTCTCCCGCGGAACAGCTGTTAGTTTCGAACTGCTGACCTTGTGGTTTGCAGCCCGATTTGTAACCACTACGCTACCAGAGCTCCTGTAGTTCTTCTTTAGCCTTACTTTAATGCAAGAAAAAGCTTAAAGCCTTTGCAATAATTTAAAAGCTGCATGTGCAGCAAGGGAAGGGGATTGTGATGAGGATTTTTTGTGAGTATGAGTTAGTTCAGTTGTTTTAAAGTGAGGGCAAATTTGCATAACATTTAAGGGCAAGTTTGAGTTGTCCATAGATTGGACTTCTGTAAACTGGGGTACTGGAATAAAAACAATAACTCTGTTTCAGGCACTATGTTCAGTGACTATAATATTACCTCATTTAACTGCCACACTCATCCTGTAAGGTAGTGTCAGATTATAAAGAAGAAGCATCTGAAGTCCTCTAACTTCATGAGGAAAGAGGAGAAATCACCACCTGCCCAAAGCTGATTCCTATTAAGTGGAGGTCAGACATATGAAGGGGCTTCAGAAAGTTTGTGGAAAAATTCTATTATCTTTTCATTCCATTTTTTCTCAAATTCTTTTAAGCCCCTTGTACCTCCCTTCTTCAACCTTTTAAAGCAATTTGGACACCAGCTGCTCTCCCCAGGGCACTGTCTGCCAGGTTCAATAATTCATTGCAGTGGCCACACTGAACAGACCATACTCATGATTTTGTGGTTTATTGTAGAAGAGACTACAACCCAGGATCAGGGTCAACTCAGGAGAAAGGAGACAGTTCATCATTCAGAACAGCTTATATCCAACACAACTCTCAGCTTCTGACTGGCTGTACCTGCAGGTAAACAGGCCTTGTCTTGGCCATGCCCATAGCTGCCTTTTGTTTTCAACCTCCCTCTGCCCTGTGTGAGCAGGTGTTACAACACTTTAACTCTGTTCATAAGGAGCTCTGGTAGCATAGTGTTTATGAGTTGGGCTGCTAACCTCAAGGTCAGCAGTTTGAAACTATGGTTCCGTGGGAGAAAGATGAGGCTTTCTGCTCCCATAAGGATTTACAGCCTCGGAAACCCTATGTAGGAGTCAGAATTGACTCCAGAGCATAAAACTACCACCAACTATATAGTGCCTGGAGGCATCCTGTCCATAAGTGTTCAGCTTGGCACTCTGTGGGTCAGCTACCCACTGCAGTAGGCTTGCTCTGTGGGTCAGGAAGTCCGCCACAGTCATGTGTACTGTCCTCCCAGTTCTCCCCACTCACTTGTCTCCAGTGTTACAGCTCCCTCTGTCTCCTGGGTCTAGGTCTAGGAGGTTCTCAGCACAGGGGCTCTAGGTCTAAAGGACCCACTCAATCTCTGGTTCTTTTTGAAGACGGTGAGGCCAACCTCTCTGAGACTGACTGTTTTATGCCTATTAGTATGGCAAAATGGACCCATCCCCTCCGTATGCTACAGCCACCTACTCTGTCTGCATAATACTGAGCAATTCCTGCAGGGGTTTTACACACCTTACTTGCATAGCAGACTAACAAATCCCTTTGCAATATAGTGACCTATATTGCAAGTTCATCTTAGCAGGACTATAAACCCAGAACCAGAAAGGCCATATATAAAGAGAAACCCACTGACCTGCAGGTGGGCATTGCTTCAATCCATTTTCTAGCTAACAGACCATGCTTCAGACGAGATCAAATAATTTGCCCAAGGTTACTATTATTGTTGTTAAGTGCCATCGAGTTGGTTTCAACTCATAGTGATCCTGTATAGGGTTTCTGAGGAGCAGCTTGTGAGCTTGAACTGCTGACCCTGCAGTTCAAATGACTGCAGTGCAGCGCATTTACCCACAGTGCCACACCAGGATTTCGCCCAAGGTCACTAGGTCTATGTAACTCCAAAACTCGTGTGGTTATATATGTAAATATATATATACACATAACTATATATATATGTGCTGGCAACCACTTCTGGATTTACCACTCATTGAAACAACCAAAAAATACTTGTTAAAATGAATTTCATAAACACTTAAAAGTTAAGAATTACTTTAAAAAAAAAAAAAATTCAAGTGTTTCAGAAAACTTATACTTTATCTAAGATTTCCAGGATAATGTGTTTAACGTACCCAAGATGCCCAGAATAATGTGAATTTAAGAAGTAACAGATGGACCAATCCGGTTCACCTAGCTGGCATACACAGTGGCTAAAAGTACATGTTTTAGAAGCTGACTGTGCTGTTTGTATCATTTTATTAGTAATGTGTCTTGGGACTACCTGAGTTTTTTTTAAGGCCTGAGTTTCCTTATCTAAAAAATGGGGAATGGCTGGTTATAAAACAGTAACTTCCTTAGAAAGTGGTTGTGAAACAGTAAATGAAATGAAGCACATAAAGAACTTAGCATAATGTCTGCCACATAGTAAACAATATATGTTACTTATTAACTGCTAAGGAAACATCAGCTTTTCTTGTTACTGTTGTGGAGTGCTATCAAGTCAGTTCCCACTCAGTGACGCTGTATAAGGTTTCCAAGAAGCGGCTGGAATTTTTGAACTTCCAAACTCCCAGTTCAAACTGACTTTGCGGTTCCAGTGCTTATCCTACAATCTAAATTTCAATCAGTTTTAGCCTGAAATTAGTGAAACAAACAAACAAAAGATAAGGCAATTGTAGATATGGACTTACTTTCTTGGCCTTCTCCAACACATCTTCCAGATCCTAAAATAGGCATAAGTAATCACAATGATTTTAGATGAATAAGTAGCTGTTCGTTGTCTATGTGTATCAAAGCAATTTGGCAGCATAAAGAATGACAATGATAGCAAGGAATAGGGTGGTAGAAAGAGAAGAGTCTCCACGGATCCACTTCCTCCTGTTTATAGTTCAACCATAGTAAAATCTGGCTGCAGTTCCCACTCCACTAAAACAAAAACTGCTATTGTAAAATATAAAGGACACTTCTTTGTCCTCCTCTTACTTCATCTTTCAGTAATGTTTGGGATCCCTCAGTTGCCCACTCCTTGTTTCTTGAACTATTTTCTACTGTTGTTGCCTTCTGTTACATCAGTCTCACTGGCTGCGACTTTTCAGTCTTTTTCAATAGATCTCCCTCTTCAATTTGACTTCAAGACTTTTTGCTTCTCCTCTTAAAAAAAAATCAGTTCACAACTGAATGATTTCCCACCCCAGGTGTGTCAGAGTAGAACTGTCTCATAGGGCTTTCAATGGCTGGTTTTTGGAGGTAAGTCACCAGGAATTTCTTCTAAGGCACCTCTGAGTGGACTTGAACCAACCTTTTGGTTAGCATTCAAGTGCATCACCAGCTAGTACCATCCAGGGAGCTCTGGTAGTGTAGTGGTTACAAATCGGGCTGCAAACTGCAAGGTCAGCAGTTTAAAACTACCAGCTGTTCCGCAGGAGAAAGATGAGGAATTCCGCTCCTGGAAAGATTTAAAGCCTCGGAAACCCTGTACAGGGTCACTATGAGTCGGAACTGACTCCACAGCACATAACAACAACAACAACAACAAAAACAACCATCCAGGGATTCCTGCATCTCCTTTGATAAGTTTAAGTGTCATCATTATGCTAATGAGTTCCTAATACTTATTTGTAGCCTACAGCGCTCTATTGAGCCAAGGATTCACATTTTAAAATGACTACACAACATCTCTAACATGTCCCAAATGCAACTTTATTTCCCTCAACAAGCCGATTCTTTCCTTCTTTCCTTGGCAACCTCAGAAAAACAACGACCATCTTCCCTGCAGCAAAAGCTAAAAACCGAAATTACTTTAAACATCTATTAAAGAGACCAACTGAGGGCCAAGTTGAAAGATTCCTGTGAGCACACAGGAAAATTTACAAAGGCCCCTGGCCATTGTGGAATGTACCCAAGAACGGATACAAAGAAATGTAGGAGACATGCTGGAGGCATGGGGACCACAAAGTCACACAAATCTCCTGCTGGGCGTCTACTAGCCATAACCTGACTAACACTTCATTCTGTAAAAAGAACTCAACATAAGTATGCCAAACGTTAGTCAATGTTCAATACTCCACTCTATATTTATTCTTTTCTCTTTAAGAAACTCATTGTAAGGCAATGATAAGACAAGCCTGTTTTTCTGAACACAAAGGCCACCTTATATATGTATATGGATGAACTACTTGAATTAACCCTATTGTAATTCCTTTGGGGCCTTGCTAGTTTCGGGTGTCAGAAGTGGGAACTGGAGAAGACACCTGAAGATCCCTTGCTGCTGGTGGGAGATCAGGTGACAGTATCCACAGGTCCTGTTTTCTCACTGTTCATCACAGCTGAGGAGCTTGGGTAAGTCTATCCCTGGATTCAAGCTCCATTCCTTTTGTGTTGAGCTCTCTGGGTTCAGATCTGAGCAGTTTGGGATGTTTATTCCTTGGTAAGTCAATTTACTCTTCTAACACATGAAAAGGTGAGAAAAACAAAAAAACTGTGTCCTTAATGCTACAGGGTCAGCTGATTTTATAGGTCCTTCTTTTGAGGTTTATGCACACAGATGGACCTGTTAGTTTGCAAAATGCTCTGCTGCCTTCTAAAGCTTCTGCAACTTACATGTTCATGCATATGGACCCAATTTGTTGTTGTTAAGTGACAATGAGTCAATTCCGACCCATAGTGTCCCTGTATAGGGTTTCCAAGGAGCAGCTGATGAGCTAGAACTTTGATCTTGAAGTTCAAAGGACTTGCCGTCTTGACGCATTAGCCCACAGCGCCACACCAGGACTCCATATGGACCCATTTAGACCATTTAGAAAAATGGGTTGATTTTATCAGGCATGACTTAAATGTGCAGTGGCCCACAAACCAAAAGATGACTCCCTGGGTTTTTAGGCCAAGTGATATTGTGTAGCACCCGGAGGCCAAACTTTCTGGAGACGTGTGCTCCATTGTTTGCACTAACAAAAGCGTCTATGCCTGAACCAATGCACTGGGAACTCATGAAAAGGGTGTTGCAGAAATAAAAAGGGCTCTGCAGTCTTCCAAAGTCCTGGTGTGGTGCTATCGGCTTAGCACTATACTAACCACAAGGTTGGCAATTCAAATACACCAGCCACTTCTTATAAACCTTATACAGGGTCACTATGAGTAAGAAACGATTTGACAGCACACAACAACAACAAGAGTCTTCCAGCTCCAGGCTTACCTATTTGATACCTTTCTTCTTATTTGTACATGACAAACAGAACCAACCTCTAGGGGTTGTTGTTGTGAGGTCCGTTGAGTTGGCTCCACGGACAGAACAGAACAAACACTATTTGGTCCTGCACCATTCTCAGAATTGTTACACTTAAGCCCATTGCTGCTGCCCCTGTGTCAATTCATCTTGTTGGGGGACTTCCTCTTTTACGCTAACCCTCCACTTTACCAACTATGATGTCCTTCTCCAGGGACTGATTCCTCCTGATAATATGAAGGATGCAGAAAACATCAAAAGAGGATGGAAGGAATACACAGAGTCACCGTACCAAAAAGAAATGGTCGATGGTCAACCATTTCAAAAGGTAGCATATACATTTAACAACATTCAAGTTACAAGCTCAACAGACTGCCCTACTGAACCAGAGGCAGAATCTGTTCATGATCTAATGGAAATACCTGTCTGTAATGAAGAATTAATGGCACAAAAGGAAGAAGTCCAAGGTACACTGAAAGCACTTGCAAATAATAAGGATCTTGGAATTGATGGAATACAAATTGAAATCTATCAACAAACTGATGCAGCACTGCAGGCAATTACTCATCTATACCAAGAAATTTAGAAGACAGCTACCTGTCCAATTAATTGAGAGAGATCCATATTTGTGCCCATTCCAAACAGAGGTAACCCAACAGGGTTTGGATATCATCTGACAATACCAGTATCACATGCAAGTTGAATCTTGCTAAAGATAATCTAAAAACAGCCACAAAAATACATTGACAGGGAACTGCCAGAGGTTCAAGCTGGATTTAGTCGAGGATGTGGAATGAGGGCTATCACTGCTGATGCAAGATGGATTTTTGCTGAAAGTAGAGAATATCAGAAAGATGTTGATCTGTGCTTTACTGACTATGTAAAGGTTTTTGACTACATGGATCATGGCAAGCTATGGATAACATTGTAAAGGGATATTCCAGCACATTTAATTGTGCTCATGAGGAATTTGTACATAGATCAAGAGGCAGCCATTCAAACAGAACAAAGGGATGCTGGATGGTTTAAAATCTGGAAATGGCTGCTCCAGGATTGTCTTCTTTCACCACTTATCCAACCTGTATGCTGAACAGATAATCTGAGAAGCTGGATTATATGAAGAACGTGGCATCAGGATAACAACCTGCAAGAAGCAGATAATACAACCTTGCTTGCTGAAAGCAAACAGAACTTAAATACTGATGAAGCTCAAAGACCACAGCTTTACAATGAGGGTTGCACCTCAATGTAAAGCAGACAAAAATCCTCACAACTGGCACAAATGGACCAATAATAAAATCATGGTAAATGAAGAAAAGATTGGACTTGTCAAAGACTTAATTTTACATGGATCCACCAGCAATACTCAAGGAAGCAGCACTCAAAAAATCAAACAACATAATGCATTGGACAAATCTGCTGCACAAGACCTCTTAAAAGTGTCCAAGAGCAAAGATGTCAGTTTGAGGACTAAAGTGTGTCTGACCATGGCATTTTCAATCGCCTCACATGCATGTGAATAAGAAGGCTGTAAAAGGTTTGATGCATTTGAGTTAGGATGTTGGAGAAGAATATTAAAAGTACCACGGGCTGCCAAAAGAACAAACCAATCTGTATTGGAAGAAGTAGAGAAACTAAGACTTCGAACTGGTCCAGTTATGGCCGATGTGTGAAATCAGAACAGACCTGAATTTGTAAAATGGAGGGATACTGGAACGATAACCAATATGGAAAAAATTACAAGTCGAAGCCCTGGAATGGAAAACTTGGAAGAGGTGTGAGTCCTTTCAATAGCCTGACATGGGAGACTGAATTATCACTAGGGTTGTGGAGAGCGACACACAAAATGGCAGCCTGCTTTGAACCTGGTGCTACTGTTTTCAACTCAGCTGGTCAAGATATTTGGTTGCCATGCAACGTACATTCTGCCCTGTTTTCTAAGACGGAGATTAAGTTTCTAGCAGGATGATAACCTGTAATTGTTCCCCTTCTTGTTCATCCACATTCACAACTTTGGATCTGTTCTAGTTTTGCTTTATGAGCCATGAATTAACTGGGAAGAACTGGTTTGAAGCCCTGGCATACATGCACACATCCCATTATAAGCTTGTTGCTAATTAGAGCTCTAAGTTGACTCTGTGGCCAGAACTTACCTTCTTGTTTAAAGTTATAGCTGTGGCTGTTAAAACAGTAGTACAGTCCAAGGAAATTGTTTAACTTTAGAAATATTTCATGATGTTGAGGTTTTGCTTAGTATTTCTCTGCAAGATGGCTTATAGCCTATGAGCACCTTTTCTGTTCTTCTTCTAATATTCAAATTAAATGACACAATACCCTCAATCTCAAGCATTAACGCTATGGTTTGATTTTTAGGATGTCCCACTCGAAAATCATACTTTAAGTAGATAGACCCTACATTAAAACTACCCAGAATTCTTACCAAGCTGGGTTATGCTATATTGTTCATTGCTGTTGAGTCATTTCTAACTCATATTAACCTTGTATAGGGTTTCTGAGGAGTGCTTGGAGTTTGAACCGCCAACCTTGTGGTTCAAACCAACCTTGTGGTTCAGTGCTTATCCTACAGCAGAGTGAATGAATATGAATTAGTTGAAAGAGACCCACTCCCTGAGTTTGCTTTAACCTAGGAGACAAAACTGTGTGTCCTAACTTGGGTCTGTGAGACTGCTAAAGCATTGTCAATATTTATAATGGTAGCTGATACTCATTTGGGGCACTACATGATTTAGAAAATGATACAAACAATGAGGGTTTCTTAACTCTGTAAGGATCCCTGTCAACATGGGAAATTAGTGTTTGGGTTACTTTAAGCCTTGTTGTTAAGTGCCGTGACACCAGTTCTGATTCATAGCAACCCTGTACAGAGCTTCTGAGGCTGTAAATCTTTATGGGAGCAGAAAGCCTCATCATTCTCTTGAGGAGCGACTGATAGATTTGAGCTGCCAAACTTGAAGAGGTTAGCTCAATGTTTAACCCACAGTGCCACCAGGGCTCCTTAAGAATATGTATAACTAAAAAAATTTAAAACATTTGTGAGAGCCCTATCAACCACCTGATTGTCCCAGAGTCCTTAAAATTTCCTTTGATAAAGGCTCTACATTTAATCTCTCATCATGGAGTGAATAAAATGCTCCAAATTGTATCTAGATGGTGGTAGGGAAATGATACCAATATTGTTAAACAAGTCTATGGTCAGTAGCTAATTTACCAAACTCAAAATTCTGAAAAAACATTTAAAACTATCCGAGGAGAGACTTCTCACTTTTGGATCCTTTGAACATTACAGATGCAACTACACTGTTGTAATTTCATTGCTGTTAGGTGCTGTCACGTTAGTTCTGCCTCATGGCGACCCTATGTACAGCAGAAAGAAACACTGCTTGCTCAGTCCTCTGTAAACCTCCAATGAGATGGACTGCCATAGAGGCAGCAACAGTGGACACAAACATAATAAATGTGAGGCTGGCACAGGATCAGAGTCCTTCGTTCTGTTGTGCACAGGGTCTCTATGAATCGGAACCAACTAGATGGCATCTAATACCAACACTGAGAACATTAACTCTGTTGTACTCCTTGCTCATCAAATAGCTAATTGCACTAATCAAACTATTTGCTGGGCTTGTGCCTACTCTTCCATAAGCCCTCAAACTGATATACCCTTCCTTAATCATGATTCCCTTAGCCCTTTTGGAATTAGCGATGACAAATGGCTTTAGATATATTCAGACAGCCAAATCTTCTTTCTGGAATGACACTAGCCTTTGCTTCAAAAACCTCATAAATTGATATTATTGTGGCGTGGCAATGGACAAACTGTCCTGTCGATGTCCAAAGAATTATCACAAATTCTCAAAATGGCTAAAAAATAGACTAGCTTTAGATTATTTGCTGGTTTCACAGAGAGGTGTTTGCACTTGGAGGTCACAAAGCTCTGTATTCATAAATGATACTCAGCAAGAAACTGCCAAATCGCCCTAAGTAAACCCTGAAACTTAATAGGATATATTCTCCTAACCAAACCTTGGTCTTGGGATCCTTGGCTCAAAGGAGTCTTTCAAATTTTGGATATTGCTCCCTTAGTGAATATCACTATAATCGCCCTCTCAAATGCATGAGTTTTAGGATCTGAAATGTGTGTGAACAGTCAGAACAACAAATGAGAATCATTGTAATCAGTCAGCAGAAGCAAATGAAACAATAGATCACCAGATCTCAGATTACTTGGATGAAGATCTTTACTAAGTGATGGTTCAGAGGTTTTGGCCAAACTTTCAGTATCACTTAGAGTATGACCAAAAGTGAGAAAATTGTTGAAGACAGAAGATGAGGACCAAGTTGACCAATTGTTCTCAGTGCATATGAAAATTCACAAAGGTCACTGTTCACAAAAATTCACTGTTGTCGAATGTACCCAGAAAACATAAACAGAAATATGAGACATGGTGGATATACAGTATAGTATTATTTGTCACGTAAATCTCCCCTTGTAAGAAAATATGTGTTTATCATAAATTCACAGTTTATCTTGCGCAAAGAATACAAGATATGTATCATGCCAAAAGTGGTGGTTGTTGTTAAGTGTTGTCAAGTTGGTTCTGACTCACAGAGACTCTGTATAGGGTTTCCAAGGAGCCGCTGGTGAGTTTGAACCGCCAACCTTGTGATTAGCAGCCCAGTGCTTATCCTACAGTGCCACACCAGGACTCCATGCCAAAGATTAGCGAAACTTTAATTTTCCACTCTGTATTTCCTATTTTCTCCTTAAAAACTCACTGTAATTACCCTAAGAGAAGCCTTGTTTTTCTGCACAGAAAGGTCTCTCTGGGTGTATACAAATGAAACGCTCAAATAAACCCCGTCTGCCTTAATCTGTTTTGTGCTTCGATTATTTTGACACATCCATTTTTTCCACATAGTATGGATTCTATCTCTAAAATACACCTTGAATCTATTCTTTCAAAGGCCACTGCAATCACCACAATACTCAAACCATCATCTTTTGTTTCTATACTGCAAAAGGCAAAACTGGTCCAGCTTTCACTCTTGCTCTCCGCCACCTATTTTTCGCAAAGCATCAAAATGGTCTTAAAGCAAACAGATCTTGTCATTCCCCTTTAAAAAAAAGAATCTTTAATGGGTTCATATGACATCCAAATTTCTTACTAACCCACCTCACTTATCTCCTGCAACTCTGTTCGGTCGTGTTTCATACCTCTTTACTTCACCAACCTCCAGCCTTTTGGTAGCTTAAATGTGCCAAATTCTACCTTGTCAGGGGCCTGCAAGCTGCCTGCTCTTCTCATCAATATATGGTACTTTTCTTGCTCGGCAAACTCTTTGTCCTTCCAGTCACAACTTAAGGGTCACCTGTAGAAGTTTCACCCTAAAAAGGATCCCATTCTATCTTCTCTATCATCAGCCTCCAGTTCCCAGTGTAATAAGTAAAACAAAAACCAAATCCATTGCCATCGAGCCTATTTCGACTCCTAACGACCCTGCGGGTTTCCGAAGACTGTAAATCTTTTGAACAGCTGACTTTGCTGATAGTAGCCCAACGCCCAAACACAGAGCCACCAGGGCTCCTTAAAACAGTCTGTGATTCTAATTCTACGTGTTTGTTCTTTTTGTTTACTGCTCACTCCCATTGGAACTGGTGCACCAAGCGGTAATACCGTAGTAGGGAAGGAGCCCATGTTCGGAGACCAGGGTCCGGGAAAAGTGGCGTCTCAGCCAGGATCGGAGAAGCCGAAGAGATAAACAGAAAGTCCTGGGGCCATAGAGAGATTACCGCTATTCCGAAACAAAGAACCGTGTGACTGGGGTTAAATAGGAAACCTGGGCCAGGTCACACATGATACAAATAAAGGTCTGCGGGAGGATTTAGCACTTCGTCCTAAAGGAGAGTGAAGCTAACCTGAGGGGAAAGGACTGGACCTGCCCGCTCCCCCGAACCCTGCCCCGCCCTCACATACGTGGTCAAAGTCTGAGGCTGAAAGATGGCAATGACAGTCCACGAGCCCCGCGCCCACGGCCCGCATTGCCGGAGCCGGAGCCCTAGATTGCCTGCGTAGTCGGAACTCTGTTGCTGCAGCAGCTTTATTCCTACCGAACGCGTGCTTACGCTGCAAGTGGGCCATGCTTTTCCGCTTTTGGAGTTCCGCTCTTCCGTTTCCAGAGTTCCCGCCCAAGGTTCAAACTGGGAAAAATGGCGGGGACGGCGGAAGCTCTGGTTTTCGCACCTCCACCGGACGAAGAATTAGTGACCGAGACAAATGATCTGATTTCTGTCTCCGTTGCTCCTCGAGAAGATTTCCGGGTGCTCTGCACTTCGAAACGGGCCGTGTCGGAAATGCTAGAGCTGTGCGGCCGCTTCGTGGAAAAGCTAGGGGATGTGCTACCAGAGGAGATTCGGGAGTCGGCGCTGCGGGATGCACAGTGGGTACGGGCCTTGTCTCCAGCTTTCTGTATCCCACATCCTAGGTCGTAGATCTGAGACGAGACCCCTTCCGGACCTTGGCAGAACGCCCTAGGCTGTCAGACAAGCAACCCTAGAAACATGAGGGGAGGACGAAAATTGATGCTAATATCTTGGTCCTATTACTTGCTTAGACCAGAACTGAAGGTATAAAAGGTGAACTACGTGTGCAATTTTAAATTTAGAAAGATTAGAAGAAACAGGTGAAATTAATTTTAGTAGCATAGTATTTTATTTAATGCAATGTTCTTTTGTTCCTACTATTTCAGATCTAGTGTCTTAGATTTGCAGTTGATCTTAATTCGGACTAGCCATATGTTAAGTGCTTGCTCATTAGTTAAAAACTGGAATTACTCCTCCAGGAAAGGGTATTTCTGGAAGCCAGTCACCTGGCTTGTTTTTGTTCTTCCTTTGGCTGTCTTAGATCATGATGTAAAAGGAGTGAAAATACTTCAGTAGCTCCATACGATAAGCACTGGACTGCCAACCACAAGGTTGTCAGATAGAGCCCACTAGTTACTCCGAGGAAGAAAGATGAGGCTTTCTGCTCCCTCCAAGATTTAAAAGCCTCATTGTTGTTGTTGTTGTTAAGCGCTATTGAGTCGATTCCAACCCATAGCAACCCTGTGTAGCAGCTGGTGAACTTGAACCACTGATCTTGCAGTTCGAACGTCTGCAGTCTGACGCATTAGTCCATAGCGCCACACCAGGACTGGAAACCCTATATAGGGTGGCTGAGCTAACTCCATGGCACTTAATCACAACCACCAATCTAAAAGAGATAAGTTATCTTGGTTATAAATAACATCACTAAGATCACACCTGATTGATACCTGTTAAAAGGAACACACTGTATGTACCATAGTGGATTATAAACTAGGCTGCTAACCACAGCATCGGTAGTTCCAATCTACTAGTTGCTCTGTGGGAAAAAGATGACGCTTTCTGCTCCTGTAAAGATTTACAGCCTCGGAAACCCTATATGAGTTGGAACCAACTCAGAGACACAAAACCACCAACTACCACCACGCTTGTTAAGTGCTGTCAAGTGCTGTCGAGTCTGTTGCAACTCTTTGTTATGGGCCATTGAGTTGATACCAACTCATAAGGATC